CAAATAGGGATAGGAAAATTACACAAAATCAAGAAAGATGCAAAGGATGGGTAAAATAGAAGAAAATGAACGCAAAGATATACTGATAAAAGAGAACATAAGGACGCACTTAGGACTTAAAGGCTAGCCCAGGGGTAGTCAACCTTGGCTCTTTTATGACTCATGGACTTCAACTCCCAGAATTCCTGAGCCAGCTGTGGCTCAGGAATTCTGGGAGTTGAAGTCCACGAGTCATAAAAGAGCCAAGGTTGACTACCCCTGGAGACTGTAGACTGACTCTATAGGCCAGTGATGGCGAACCTTTTAGAGACCGAGTGCCCAAACTGCAACCCAAAACCCACTTATGCATCGTCGAGTGCCGGGCGGGTGTGGCCCGTTGGGCGGGCGTGGCCAAGTGGGTGTGGCCAATTGGGTGGGCGTGGCTGCAGTGGTAACGACAGACTGGGTGGGACTAAAAAGTTCAATCAATCAATTCCAACTTTGCAAGATCTTTTTTTTCCCCGCGAGAAGTTGAAATTGACTGATTGAACCTTTTTTTTTTTTGCACATGGCGGCGGAGGCCTAAAGCAAAAAGGTTTTATAAAACCCAGCTGAAGGCCTAGGACTGGCCGCGACGGCGCGCATGCCCACAGAGAGGGCTCTGAGTGCCGCCTCTGGCACCCGTGCCATAGGTTCGCCAACACTGCTATAGGCAGTCAGATAAACAGCTAAAGCCTGCAAAGACCCAGAGTCCTTAAAGTCTCTAGTTTGTTAACTTTTGGAGATGATTTTTTTCCCCTCCAGTTCAAGGGAAAAAGATTTTCTTTCCGTGCTTGCTTTGCTCCTCTACTCTTCAACTTGGAGTCAAGATATGATTTTATAAAGGATAGAGATTGGAGAGCACAAGCAGAGTTTAGTTTAGCACCTAATTGGGGCGGGGGGGGGTCAACAAGTCTCTCTCTCCCAGCTTTTATTTATTGAGGAAATGAGGCTTTCTGGGGGAGGGGGCTAAGCAAGGGAAAGGTTCTGGGAAGCTTGTCCTGAAGCTGCCATCTTTTATACAGGAGTCGGCTTCCCAAAGTCTTGATAGGGATAAGGAAGAGAACTTTGCAGCCTCCAGACAGCTAGCCGATCAGCCAGAAAACTGAGAGACTAGGTAATCAGTCCTTTTTGTGCCCCAGAAAGGCAGGGCACTGTGGCGGTAGAAAGGGCAGGGGAGAATTAGGAAAGGCAGGCACTCCCAGCATTTTCCTTCCCCGTTGTTTCTTGCTGGCAAGACAGTCAACTGTGCGGTGGGCCAGCATGCAAGGCACCCAAGGGGTAGGAAGCGGAGCACGGGGTATCTCGGGGTAAGGAAAGCCTTGAGCGGCTTGAAGGAGGAGGGACTGTGCCTGTGCTAGGCCCCCCAGGATTTTCCCCACCCCTGAGCTCTATTTAACGACCCATGTATTCATGTAACAAATGCACTGGGGAAAGCAAGGATGGTTGGTCGTTTCTTGAGGCAGTTTAATGTTGTTTTGACTTCCAACCCTAACGAGTTGCTCCATTATAGTCGCAACTCAAGGGCTACCTGTATTACAATAAATCCACCTTTCCCAAAGTTTCATTGTATTGTTTTCATTGTTTATTTGTATACATTTTGGTGTTTGGATTTTAGCAGAGGTTGTACATTAGGGCTATAGTAATGTGTAAGTGTGATGTGAGGTATGATAGTAAAAAGTTTAGCAATCCTTGGTTTAAATCCGTCTTTAAAGTACTCCTTTTCAACATCTATATGAAACCGCTGAATGAGATCATCTGCCACCATGGTTTGAGGTATCTGCAGTATGCTGATGAAACCAAACTATATATTTCCACTCTTGGTGACCATGGCCACCCTCTCGTGGTGCTTGGAGGCTGTGAGCGTCTCTGGATGGGGGATAATAGGCTTTGACTGAACTCTGGCAAGACCAAATGGCTTTGGGTACATAAGGCTCTGTGATCCGTGACTTTGTCATCTCTGACTCTTGATGGGGTGGCACTACCTCAGATAGATCTGGTCCACAACTTGGGGGTTCTCCTGGACTCACGACTCCTGCTCAAAGAGCAGGTGGCAGTCACAGCTAGGAGAGCCTTTGCACAACTTTCGGTTGTGCGCCAGTTGCGGCCTTTCCTGGATCAGATTGGACATTTTAATGGGCCCTACATGGGGCTACCCTTGAAGAGCGTTGGGAAGATACAGCTGGTGCGGTGGCATGGGCAGTTCTTGGGGCTCAAAGAATGGCCCATATAGCACCACTTCTCTGCAAGCTGCATTGGCTGATAGTTTGCTTCTGTATGCACTTCAAGTTGTTGGTAATCACCTTTTAAGTTATTCATGGCACGGGTGCAGGCTACTTGAAGGACCGTCTTATCCCATTGGGAATTGGCTTGTCCCACCTGTGCCGGCAGAGGGGGTATGCTGTGAGCCCCATTGGCCTGATTATCCCAGCAGGTGGGGTCCAGGAGAAGGGCTTTCTCTGCTGTTGTACCTGCCCTCTGGAACATCTTGGCCCCAATGTGAGGTTGACCCCAATCCTATCCTTTTGTAAGGCCTGCAAGACCTGGCTCAGCCAGTTAGCTTGGGACCCCAATGGAGGAGCAGCATAGTGGAGTAGTTGATTAAGTAACAGCTGATCCCACTTCCCCCACCCTACCCCCATCCTCCCCACCTATAATTGGATTTTAATGGTTGGTTTTAACTTATTTATGTGTGTATATGTGTGTGTGTGTGTGTATATATATATATCTGCATCTGCATTTGTGAATGATTGTAAGTTGCCCAGAGTTATCCTGTGGTAAGATTTCATTAAGGCTTTGGTCTGATTGCTTAAATTTAAAGTTTTCATTGGCTCTTCATTGTTTATCTACTATTACTTTTAAAAATATTTTAGTTTCAATAAAACTTAACAGCCTTTTTGAAACCAGAAAGTAAGATTAGATTTCCTACTATGAAACAAAACAGAACTTCCATATGGATCTCCACATTCTTGCTCAAAGAATTATAGGCTAAGCTACATTCTTAATGAAATTAGCTAGGAGCAAGCAAACAGCATAACATCAATTCTTTCATACTTACTTAATTAAACTATTCTCTTTCACAGACCTGGCCTGGCACCTCAAAGCAACACTCTTCATTAAAAATGCAATGCAAGATTAGCAAATGAGCACAAAACATAATAAAATGCTATCAAAGCAATAATAAAAGCAGGTCAGTATCAGCAGCTAGATCAATCAGGCATAATTTCAGGAATGATACTTTCAGAATATGGTTAGGAATTTTTTTATCCCTTCTCCCAAGCTAGAATCACACAATATATGTCAATACATAAGACTATTTTGGGTTTTCATATAAAGCAAAGGCACTGATTGCTATTATCAAACTGATTTTCGTTCCCATAAATAATGACATAGCTTTGAATTAATTCAAATAGTCAATTTTAAGATTGGGTTTGTAAATCAAATACACACACATTCCACCCATGCACATAGTCACATAAATAGGTTAACTCTTGTTATTCCTGTTTTCCTAATTATCATCCTCAATGTAATGTTCAGTTTCTTACTATAAAGAGTCATTTCATTTTTTTAACTGTAACAAAGAACTGAGTTCCTAGTAATGATATAATATATACCATATAATAGTAAAACTAGCTGACTATATAAGGGCTTGAATCCAGACTATTAACTGCTTTTAAAACTCAATGACTCCAACGTACTTTGTACTCTAAAAGCGTTACCCAATCTCGTCCCCACAGTTTGAGCGTTACAGTGCACTACACAGCGCTGCATAGTGTTGAAAAAAAGGTGACGGCCGTTACCCCACCCACGCCAAAACCGTACTGCGTAGGCCGGGTGCCCGGCCGTCAAACTGTGGGGACCCAATCTCAATTTGATGGTATTTGTGTTTTATTTAAATCAGATGTATTACTGGTAATGTCTAAATAATGAGATTCTTAGTCTTAAAATATGGATTTAATACTAGAAATATCTTCACCATCATAAAAGACAGCAAATTGTAGTGTTTTATTCAAGATATCAGAAAACTGCTGTAGAACACCAAAATTAAATAGTTATTGTTTTAATTAAGACATTGCCTAGTCTTGTGTCATTTCAAGATTTTCAAGAGTGAGAGCACCTTGGACTAGTTTCTTTTTTCATAATCAAGAAGTACCTCAAACATCTATATTTCTTCAACAATTCAGTGAAAGGCCTTGTTCCAATTTATTTCTATCATAACTTATGACATGATAACCAGTAAATATAGAGAAAACTAAGACCTCAAGTAAATACCATCTACTCTGTCCTGTTAACATACATCTTATCTTTGTCAACTAACCTGCTTCCAAGCAAAGGGAAAGAGAAGGCAAAACTTTGTTTTGCTGGACCACTATGTAAGAGCCACTTCTCCACAAAAAGATGCGGTGGAATGTAATATGAATTCCCAGGAAGGCAAAGAGGCAATGAAACATAGAAAGTTTGGTCAGGAGGAAGAGTTAAGAAGGCTCCTCCCCAACTATTCCCAGAGTGTATCTATAATGATGCAAATAGTTCCTTTAATTTGGCAAGACTTCTGTCTACAGATGAGGGACAATGAAGGAAACTGCTCTTTAGTAACTTTCCCATGTCTTTCTTGGTTCTTGGACCCTGACAAATGTCCTCATTAACACTCCAGCCCTATCACCGAATTATTCAAAATGCAAATGCTGCAGAATTTAAGTATATGTCTCCTCCAAGTACTATACAATGCATATTTTATGACTGTGATTTGAAGCACAAACATTAAATGGCTAAAAGTTATGACTCCAATTACGTAAAAGGTCTTGTCGAAAGGGTCTTAAACATCGGTCGTGTTCGTTAAATCGTGACTCTTCTTTACGTAATAAATAAATGATGGAAAGAAGATAAAACAAGAATAGGTAGTTACCAACAAACTAGGTGACTAAGTGATCGGAAACAGGAACTCCACAAGACGTAAATAAATTGTTAGGTCGGTTACTTACACAAGCTTGGGCAAATTCTGAAGCATTCTGAGGAGACAAAGAGAAGGCATTTTCGTGTCATAAAAAACAAAAAAGTCTTTACTTCAAACTAAAGGAAGAGAGGAAGCTGAGTTATTGCTAGTCTTCATGTTTTCAGAAATGATGATCAAAGCATTGCTTCTTTGTTCCAAGATGCTACATGTGAAATCTGATTCCTTAACACACACTAGCTACCAATTAATTCTCTTTGCAATCTCTTATAGACAGTCTGCAGTTTTAATTCAAATCTCTAGCCATAACACCGCGCCTCATTTTTCCCTTTTCCTTTTCTTCTACCATCATTTTCTTCAGTTCTTCAAGATCTTGTATGAAAAAGAACAAGGCACCATGGTTTGTCCTAGGATTTGTTCATCAATTAATAAAATGAAACTTCCTTCATTCCTACATTCCTACAAAATGTTTCAAACTCACATTCTGATCTTAGAACAAAGCAATCTATGTCCCATAGTTCTGCCTTAACTGATTTTTCTCTCTCTGCTGTTTTAAAGTGGTTTATTATTCAGATTAGAAAGAATTAAAAACAAGTGCTTCTCTGGCCATATCATAAAAAAGGAGAGAATAAATTTGTTTTAAGATTCTACTATCTCGTATGTCTGAAAATCTTAGACGTTTGGACTTATTTCAAGGCAAAACAACAGAACAGAAGTGTCTAATGGAATATTCTAAATTGGATTTTTCTAAGCTCAGTTTAAATTGTTCAGAAAAATAAGAAGAATGGTAACAGAAGATAATGTTATATATTTTGTATTTCAATATCTTTTCTTTTAAGTACAGTAAACAAATTAAATTTATCAACAATTTCATAAATTGTAGCCTACCCATTAAAGACATCACAAGGATAAACAGAACATGGATTAAATATAGGATTCTAGGAGGGGAAAAGACAAAGGGTAAAACTTTACTTTCCATGTTTATTGAACAAATATACTATATCCATTTTAAAAAGAAAAATCAGAAGCCACCTTAATGGAAGTTAAAAAATAATATATTATTTACATGAACAAAATCACTTAAAGCTTTGAAATAAACATTAGGCTTCCCAGAGGTGTATATTCCAAGGTCAATATGACTCTAAAACATATCTGACAATTTCATGACTGACTTCTATCATTAGCCTCTGCTTAACTGAAGGTAAGTTCAGGTAGTCCTCAACTTACAAGCGGTCACATAGTGACCATTTGAAGTTACCACAGACCCTCAAAAAGCTACTTATGACCTGGTCTCAAAGTTACAATTGGCACAGCACCCCCACAATCATGTAAACAAAATTCGGGAACTTGGCAACCTCATGGACACTGTAGCAGCCCCCTGCCTATCTCCCCACCACCACAGGACATCCTGCTGGTCCCTTTAGGCCTTGGGGAATTTTTCAGAATTCTGACTACCAGAGTACGATGTCAACTCAGATCTCTGACTTGATACTTTCCCTTTACAGGTAGAGGCTCCCTTATCATATTTTTCTATATAATCTAGAAACGGATGGATGGATGAAGCTAAAGTAAGCCTCATCTATAGTCTTTTTTTACAGAAATAAGACTATTTGTTAACAGAATTTAGATGTCCAAGTGAGCGAAAGGATATTTCTACCCAACAGCACAATGGAAAAATCCAACAAATGTACTTTCCCATGTAATAAATAATATGAGAAAAGCATACAGCAGGGTTGCTGTTCTCCACATCATCAGTGTTGACAAGAACATCAGCGCTAGAAGTGGCAGTATAAATCCATTTGGCTCAGACATATAAAAATCAAGCTAATTTTTATACATCTTGAATGGGAAACTATCTAAGAACTCTAAGGAAGTTACTATGATCCTTTAATATTCTTAATAACTATATCAATAAATACTTCACAGATTTCATAAATTCCTTAATGTAGTGATAGAAATCAGATATAAGGGCAAGTTCTACTTAGAACATCTTACCTGAAAAAGGTTAAGGGCTCTGACAGCAGCATGATCCAGGGTCATATACTGATTAAGGTCAAACGTGGTAAGTTCAAATTGTCCAAAGTTAGACTCATCGTTTAAGAGCTCTAAGTATTTAATCACAACAGATAGAGAAGAGATGGCAACCTGGAGAATAAAAGTCCAACAGAAGTGTAATCACATAAGTAGTCAGCCTGACAACTGGTCATGGGGCATTGGTGAGACTAAATTTGAATGCAATGTGGACAATAGAGAGTTTGTTCTTGAACAGCAGTTTTTCAAAATTAAATTATTGCCAAAGACGTATAGTTTGCAAGTGTTTCTCTAGAGGTTTTTGAAAAAGTTAAGGGAAATAACAGAAGAGGATCAGACAAATATCATACAACTATTATCAAATATTACTCTATCAAGAGGGAAGAATTTTCTATAAAGGGAGAAATAGTTTCCATGGCATTCAACAAGGATTGCTTTTGTATTTCATCTACAAAACAGAGATGAATATTTTCAAGGGCAGGTTTCCATGATCCCTAATTTGTTGTGGTATAATTCCCATTATTGACAGATAGCATGGACAGTTTCTACTAGCTCAAAATGGTGGGAGTCCTGCACCAGCACAACTGAAGAATACCTAATTGGGGAAGGTTAAATGTTAAAACACATGAATATCATTCTATGTGAAACTGTGTGGCTGCTTTGCCATTACTACCTCTATTTAGAAACTTCTAATAAATCTAATAGCAATAAAGAGTAGTTATGCATCATTTTAAAACTACAGCAAACAGTAAGAACTTGCCTGAAGTAATTTCTCTGACATTCTTACACAGAATTCAACTTTATATACTCCTTCTCCAAGAAAATGATTTCTCCAGCATCATCAGGTTAAACCAGTTCGTTCTCAAGCTCTTATGTTAAAATGGCTCCAAGTGGCAGTTAGGTATTAACATCAGAGCTGCCAAAAAGAACTGCTATACTCATTCAAATAGCAAGCTGTAAAATTTTGGAAAGGCTTGGGGGAAAGCCTTATTGCAATATTTCATTAGTTCAGAACTTTTCATTTAGATTGATGGTTATGAATGCTGTTTAAGGAGCAAACTTCATGTTCCTGCCTAGAGAGAAAGACAGGCATATTTGAGCATTTATTAATTCTCCCAAAAGAGGCATTCTTCCCTTCACTTGTAGACTACAATTCTAAAATGAACACACACTTTATCTACGAAGTGAACTGCTTGTTTATGATTCATACCTTATAGAAATTTAACCAACACTTCACTGATCAAGATTTATAAAATTTTCCATTCCATTCACTGAAATGTAACATATATTATCAATGCCATCCAAGAGAAAAAGAAATACATGTAGCCAGGGGTCCTTGGTGCTCTCTGAGCTTGGTTGTCTTCTTGCAAACATTTCATCATCCAAACTAGGTACATCATCAGTGATAAAAGGCAGTGGGGTTTGCTCTCAGGTTATACTCTAGTGCAGGGGTAGGCAACCTTGGCTCTTTTATGACTCGTGGACTTCAACTCCCAGAATTCCTGAGCCAGCATGGCTGGCTCAGGAATTCTGGGAGTTGAAGTCCACAAGTCATAAAAGAGCCAAGGTTGCCTACCCCTGCACTAGTGGCTTGTCCTGTCAATGTTGGTGAGGGTGGTTTTGGAGCTTCTTGCAATGTTTCCTGTTAGCTTGTTTGGCAGTTTCTTGATTGGGATATTGTTTACTTGTTGACTGCTGATCTGATGTTAATCTTAGAATTAATCTATGCTCATCTGGGTGCGGATTGCTGGTGTGGGGAAGGGGGTTGTTTTGGTCTTTCTGTTCCCTTTTTTTGGCTTATTGTCTCTTTGCAGTGTGCAGATATTGTTTATGTCTATGTGTCTATAATTTGTCAGTGTGCCAAGCTTCTAGAAATTCCCTAGCATTTTTGAACTTGGCTTGGTCTAGGATGGTCACAAATTCCCAACTGAAATTGTGGTTAAATCTGTCCATGTTGTGAAATTAAAGAGTTTTCATCATTGGTGTTCATGGATGTGTTTTGCCAGCCTTCTGCCTGTTTTCCTTCATAGTGGCTGTTGCAACCATTACACTGCGTGTTGTAGTAGATGACTCCTGTTTTTTCCTCTGGCGTCATCTACAACATACAGTGTTGTCTTTTTCACCAGAACCAACTGCTGTTGCTAAATGAGGACTACTTGTACTCAAGTTAGGTGACATGAATAAACGAATAAGAATACATTTGGAGAAATGAAGAGAAAAAGAGAAAGGAGAGAAAAAGAGACTGAGCCACTGAGCAACCCAAGAGGAATGAGAATGACTAGTAGTTATGCTTAGAAAAATGTTCTGAAAACATTTTTCAATTTAAGCATTCATATATACGTATTGCAAAAAAATGAATATGAATTCAAAAGCGTGATCAGTTTTATGGTTTATGATTGATGAGATTGTGAAAATTTTGAAGGATGCAAAAGATATAATGTTACTGAAGCCAGTTGTTATCCTTTTAAAACTGACACACACCTCTTTTGATTTATGGAACACATCCATTCCCAACTCACTCACCTGCTTATCCATTTCAGGTAATGCTGCACTAGACACATGCTCCTTCTTTCCTGATTGCAACAAACGGTTGAGATCTTGAACAGCATCTACTGTTGAAAATTCAGTCTTTTTCCTATCTGTGATCAGGATTCCTCCTCTTTGAACCACCTTTACAAATAATTAGAAATAATTTTATTTCAGGTTATAGGTTTAAAGCACTCTTAATTGTGTTCAATAAAATAAACACAGAACATGATAGCACCTTATAAACTTAGAATGGATTCAATATTATAAAACCTTAAAAGTAGACTTATGAGGGAGGGAAGGGAGAAAAATAAGGTGACAAGAAAATGGGTTTATAAAAGCAGAGAGTGAAAAAAAACTCTCAAAGAGGAAGGTAATTTGATATTACTTCAGTGAGTTGATGATGTCTCCATTAATAAATTATGTATCGGACACACTGGACTGTATGTATCAGAAGAGCATCAGATTGGAAAGGCTGATGTACAGAATGTAGAAAATAGTAAATCACAACAGAAACCTATTTTCAAAGTGAGCCAGGAATGACTTTCACACCTAATTGACCCACAAAGGAAAAGAAGAACTTTTAAGGTACAAAGAGAGATGCAAACAGCATTGGTAAGGACTAGAGCTCTTTGATCACTCAATAAATTCCATGAGAGGCACTGAAGCGTTACATCATTTTCACACCAATAAAAAGCCATGGCAATGCATTACTTACGAAGAATCCTCGCTTAACTATAGGTAGTCCTCACTTAGTAAATGTTCATTCAGCAACTGTTTAAATTACAATGGTACTGAGCAAAGGAACATATAATCTGTACACAAAGTTATGGCCGTTGCAGTTATGGAATGAAAATTCAGGCAGTTAGCAGTCTTCCCACTGTTACAATTGAATACAGCAGGACTCCACCTGTTCCACCTGCCCACAGTCTCTCCCCTGGCCCAGCAGCAAGGGCAAAGCTACTGTGGCCCTAGAGGTCCAGGCCTGTTTTCCACCATACCTGGGAGACCTCAACCAGTTATAGGGCCCAGCAGTATGCATAAAGTGCTCCACTTATCTTTGCGGGGTTTTTTGCAGCTGCTGACAGATGGTTCTGTCTGTCATCCAGCCTATGTGAGGCACGGCCCTCCTATAGAGACCTCCTCACACCATTCTGCAAGCAGGCACCATTCTCATGGAAGGCTCCTTTTCCAAATGACACAATTTGAAGATGGAGCATTCCAAAATATAGCGAGAATGGCCCAGGAGGCTCTTTCTAGCTCTGATTCCTTCTAGCTATCATGTTCGCTAGCTTTTTAGCCTTTCTAGTCTAGAAGCCTTCCTAGCGATTGTGAGAATGGCACCCGCTTGCAGAATGGCACAAGCCATCCTCTGTAGGCAGCCCACACCTTGCATTGGCTGGGCATAGCTGTCAGCTGCTGCAGACAAATACAAAGGCAAGTGGAGTAATTTACATGCACCAGTAAAAGGATCAGATCCAAAAGGTATCTATATATTTAGTATTCCCACTGGAAAAGGATGCCAAGCCATGATAAGATACTGCAGTGAATATAAACCTAATCTTAATGAACATAATGTGTTTATCCTCCTAACTGAATCTTCAAAAAATGCCTCTGGAGGAACAAAAGCCCAGAAATACCATGCGTACTTAGATGATTTGCAGTTCTAGGGATACTTTTGTAAATTAATGGACTGTATTATCATTAGTCATACAATATGGAGATTGCCTTAAGATTCAGTATTAATTTAAATATTTGCCTTTTCAATTAACTGGCATTACAGACAACCAATGCCTTGGTTCTGTTATTCAGCTTTTACATCTTCATTGAACCTGGACTCCTTCAATTCTTCTTTGATCTCTGAAAATGTGCTTGTGTTGCCTTTTTTGGTTTTGTGACCAGCATTTGTTTTGCCTTCTTGACTCCTGATGCTAAAATACTCCTCTTTAGAAGGCCTTCGAAGTGGTTAAGTCTTAACAGTTCCTGAAGAATTCCTCCAGCCTTAGGCAAATAAATAGAATGCCCAATAAGTAGAAGGGTCGTTAATGGTTGGGTTATACTGCACTAAGCTACAGATTCCTCTTTGACTTCACATGCTGTGCAAACCTTGACAAGTGTACTTTATTCAATAAAGCATAGGTAATCATGCCATAGCTTAGCATAATAAGTGATAATCACCAACTGAAGCTTAAATGAACCCATTAGTTAATCTAACTAGAGCTTACAAATACAAACCAATACAAAATAATTATTGTTTACTACGGGAGCACCAAGAACTTCACAATTGAATGAGCTGCTCCATTTTCTGCCCATTTTAAATTAATTTCCTAGAGGATTTTTCAGTTATAAGTTCATGTAAACAATGTCTG